TCTTGAATGTGTTGCCAGACATGTGAATCACCTGTAGTAATGGAACAGTTGCGTCATGAGTTACAGGGTCGTGTCGTTAGGGTCAAATTGTGTACACCTCTTGCTCTATCATCACCGTCGTCATCATCTTCATCATCATCATCTTGATCGTGAACCCGGAAGAAACTGTACATTCACAAACCATAAAATGTGGATCTTTTGGCTTGATGCAAAGCTTGGCCTCGCCAGAGAAATTCATCTCTCCGTGTCTCCTCACCGTCAAATTCATATTCGCCGAAAGCGAGAATCGTCGCCAATACTGAATAATTTTTTTCAAATTTCCCATGGATCCAGCAGAAAATTCAACGCTTAAAAAATTGGTATAAATACATTTAAAAAAATTATTCGTATGATTTTCATTGGAATTCAGTACAAATCCATCTCTTATGGGAAAAGAGTGAGACAGTAAAATACAGATAAAATAATTTTCGGGTCAGTGGTTCTCTTTCTTTACTGACATGCGAGCATGTCCACTGTGGTGCGTGTTGACCGGGATTTTGCCCGCGTGTCTGCATTTTCTTGTGAAAGTCAGGATGTGGAAACATAATCGGGCGTGACATCTCAAGTCGGGTTCCCATGGATCAAAACCGTAGAGAATTCCAGCTCACTTTTAACACTTTTGTTCTTTTGTTACCCGTGTGGGAATGTGTTACTGCGATTTTCCGTGCAGTCTTGAATCTCTGTCAAGGAAAAACTTCTCTAGTGTTTGGATAACGCTTTCAGAAGGCAGGTCGAGGTTTAAGTCATGTCTCATACTTGCGATATCGGTCTTTGAACATGATTTTCTTGCTAGCAATATCGCATATGCTCGATTGGATTCTCCCTTCCCCCCCCTCCGGTATTTGTAGACGTAGTTTATCGCTGCGAAATGTTCATCATGTCTTAGCAGAAGAAAATAACCCCACACAGTGTAAATAATTTATCACGTTGAAAGTAAGTAATTATCAGCCTGAGAAAATGAAATACCTGAAAGCTATTGCAATAAAAAATCCTGATTTGTGTTAATTTCCTTAATGCAGTTTATGACTTCATATAAATCCGTTCTGCCTGTGGAACCATCGCATCAATATGAAACTTGTCAAACACCTAGGAAGATTTTCCCAATAAAATCAACATAGGTGTCTCACATTGATGACACTGACCTATCTGAAAGAAAATCATGTCACTTGTGCGAGATGCGGTAATGGATATGATATAGAACGGAATCGTCGTCGTCGGGCTTCTTTCGAATGGTCCTCTCTCGGTCCAAAAACCTTGGAACCTATACAGAGTTGAGTTAGATTTGGTGCAACGATAAGTTTAGCATCGGTACATGGTAAATGACCTTCGCGTTGATTGGTTAAGCCGAAGTCATTGGCATAGCCGGTATTTTGGTTGGGTTTTCTGCGGCAAAATTTATCTGAAACGCTGGGAAATTAGGCAATGTGTTTAACGAGGAGTCTAAGACCTAAATAGAAGATTGAGACTTCCGATTGAAGGTGTTTGATGTTGAAACCACGATAAATGTTGAAGTGAAAGCAAGAATTGCAAATGCAACCCTTCCTGACGTGAAGGAATCCTCTCCCTCCCCTGACAGACCGAGCGCGGGAAGATCTCATTTCACTCGGTTATTTGTTCGCGACCGACCGCACGAAGGCAGAGTTTATGGAAAGGTCTTCTTTGGAAGTGGAGTTGTGAAATCGGTCGTGCCCCCGGGCATGTAATATTTTGGTTCATGCCGAACAAATGCCTTGTCTAACCCCCTATCCATTTTTGGTGCCGAAGGACTTCCTATTCTCCCACGGTAAAGGTCATTTTGTCTCTCTGAGGTCAAGATCAATCCTGGGAGATCGTCCCCCCTGGACGCCTTCATGCCCTTGGTGCAAGTCAAAACTCGTTTTCCTTCCCGAGTTACTTCATATTGGAAGATAGTAAAAAAAAAAAAGAGTATTACATCATAGGGGGCTGTGGTCTCCGGAAAGGACCTTCCTCGGGTAAGTAAAAGAAAAGAAAGTCTTTTCCGATCATCAACAACATTTGGACCTTCATCCTCTCCGTCATAAAACCATCTTCAAGGATATTCGAAGTCGCCCCTCTTAATATTAATTTTTTCCCTCACTCCATACCACAAACACAAGGAAGCACTGAGTGCTGTCAAAACAGATGGTGAAAGCTTGATGAAGATTCTGTTAATGCCGGACAACCAGATATAGGAAGACCTGCCTTAGAAGCAGATGTTGGAAGATCCTGTCCGTGTTGAGCAACAGGCCACGAATTTATGAACGGAAGTACCGATTTCCTCGTGGCAGATGGTCAAAGCTTCCTCACGATTTTGATCCGCTTTGGTCCCATCGAGCTTCGAATTTATGTTTTTAGAGCGCCATTTCTTGCCATCTGGAAGCAAATACGGCATATTTTGGCGATGAGAAGTAGCGCAAAATTATAGAGGGGTTGAGAGTTCCGCGAAAAGCGTCAGACGACATGAAAGCCGTGACCGGATACACATTCTCAGCGGGGGGGTTTCCCCGGACTTGTCCCCGAGTGATAAGTCCACTTCACGGTTTTTCATTCTTGTACAGGTTTTAGATTTTTTATAATGAGCGTGGGGGAGTTCCTGTTCGCGTTAAATAAAAGGGAGCTTTCACGGTCACGGACTCGTTTTCTTGCTTCGTCTTCCTAGTGGCGGTTTCTCTCGTTCTACCTCATCATGGTACACCCTGTGAGTTCTTATAATAGGTCGAATTTCGTCACTGCATCCTTTCTTTTTCCGTGGTTGAATTCAAGTATGGACAAATGACGCAGATCTTTTGGGAAGGCGCGCATTAGAAGGGAGTCGAGGGCATCATTGTCCTCTTGCGGAGGATGCATCCAGAATGGTAACACTTGAGTCATCTGTATTCATCCCCATGATGCACGAGTTTCTGGAAGTCTTTGTGCCGAGTGTGTATTTTGTGCTTCGCGTGGTGGAATTCCATCAGGTTTTTCTCAGCCTTGAAAATTATTTTCTGGCCCCGCGCTCAGTGGAATCCATCCTTTTTTTTTCTCATCGAGAAGGAAGGAAACAAGAGATGACCTAGACCCCATTCTTTGCCTTCCCCATTATGAATTCTAGACGGAAATCCTGGAGTCTGCCCGATCTTAGTGATCGGTGTGTGACGAAGTGGGGAAAGCCCAAAATGGGAAAGATCCGGAATAACCTCTCCTCCCACTGGAGAACTAATTAGTCTCCTCGTTTCATCACGCTAGCTTGACGTAACGTTGAACCCCCCGTTGACGTCATCCGCTGCGCCGGTGAAGAGATCCCGGAAGAGCCCTTTTAATAGAAGAATGCAGAAACCCTGCTCACATGCGTTCCCACGTGTGGTGAAAGGAGCGGCCACACGATCCTCCTCTCCCGAAAAGTAGAAACCAATCTTACGTTACGGGGATTCGCAACGTCAACTTTTTCTAAGTGAGTCCCCCGTCCAATACTTCTTCCGCGATTAAGAAATGCAAACAAGCCGAATGGCAGGTGCGGGGTAAGTCCTTATTCCATACCAATTAAGTAGGATCGACAGGTTCATTTTCACTTAATACGGTATTCATGAGTCAAGCCGAAAGCAAATTTCGCTGAACTACATTGAACGCATGGCTCAGTTCGAGGCGATCCCCAGAGGAAAGCGATTAAAAAAGGAAAACAGGAAAGTGTCCAGATCCGGACTGTTCCTAAGCCCTTGGATGAGGCCACTTTTCGACACCTCGCTAGAATCAAAAGAAAATAGAAGTATATGAACGGGAAAGAAATACGAGAAAGCATGCGAGGACGGTATTACTCCTTTACCGATTTTTTTATATTTAGACAGCGCAACTCCAGGTCATCTCTGGCCTCGCCATAGAGGCATGGATACTGAATCATCTTAAAGTAATCTTAAAAGCGATTCTGTTATTTGGGAAATGCCAACATCACGACAACCGAAGCACTGACGCACGGAGGAGAAGAATATGCTAATTAAGATTCGTCCAGAATTAAATATTCGTCGGTTGCCCTCAGATCTTGGACGAGTGCATGGAAATTTCCGTGTTGTTGTTGTTCCTCAATCTAGAGCTTACTCCGCATATTTCTCTCTCGTTGTTAATCTGGTGTCTCATATCGCATCAATGGCTTTCCAACATATTTGTTCCGCGTGAAACGGAGATCGAGAGAAGCGAGAAATCTTTACGTTGCTCAAAAAATTGCCTAGTCTCGAACGTGCTTTCCTGTTTCGAATAGACGGAAACAAAGGAAAGACACCGGGATCGCCGTGTCTTTCCGCACAATGCGCATTCAAGGTCTCAAGGCCAAGTGAAAAAAGTCGATGTATAATGTAGGTACAGTTTATTCGATCTGTCACTCGGCCGGTTGGTCTGGACTCGAGCTGGACGACCTGGACGACATGGAAAATGATGAAGACAATGACGGACGATGTTGTTCTGCTAGCAGTGACAGGAATTGGATACGCGACCGCAGTTCACGTTGATTCGCTTCGGACTGAAAACATTATGGAAAATACAATTTTAAGTTCCAGAACGTCCAAATATCGATATTAAGCCTTGTGGCAGGCGAAATCGCGCAAATCAGAACTCTGACCGATCGCGTCCTGCAGATGTTGGGCTCGAGCGATGGGAATTCTCGGTTAAGTACGATCGTCTACGATCACGGCTTACGAGAGTTTGTCGGGTGGCGACTGCGTTCCAAGAAAATATTCCGATTTTTATCGTTGAGGAGTCGTTCTGCTCCGGCCCTTTTCATGTCTTGTTTTGTGCCACGATCCGAGAGGGTTTTGAGTCCGATTTCAATTCCTCGTAGGGACTTTATAGTTTGTTCTCCCAAGCTTGAACCACCGAGTGTCACCTTCGTCACCTTTGTCACCTTGGTTCATTTCGAATCAAATTCCAGTGTGTTCAATCTTGGCACAAGACTCAGGTAGAGATTTTCCTTTTAATTTCGGCATCTAAGCTCTAGTATGAATCACTGCGTGATCCCTAGCCCCATCTTGGGGGTAGGCTAAGTACTGAAATGAGCTATGAGCATGGTGCAAATGAATGGGCAAGATCTGTTGAGTTTAAACCCGTTGTTCATATGAATAATCTTCAATTTCTTTTAATAGTAAATTAGGACTACGAAGGTGATGCGAGAGAGAGTAACGTCTCACTATGAAATAAAGACATGCCTTGCATATAAGAAACAAAGTTCAAAACAGCAACCTCAAGCCCCGGGGTCACCTCCAATGACGTAATTTCCGCTCGAGATGACGTCACATCTTGATAAGGGTACTCTCATCCCGATTTAGAGACCGATCCCCGTGTCGTAAATCATCGATTACCTCCTCCTAGCGTGGGAGAGAAGCCATTAGGCGCACGTACAAACGCTCAATCAAAATGCTTGGGGTTGCAAACTACCTCATTAACCGGCTTTAAAGTTTTGCTAGGATTTCAATTAGATTTTTACAAACGCCTAGTTGCTTTGAATAAGAAGAGTTTTCATTTCCAACTATCCTTGAATTGATATGATGTCTGATCTTAAGATGGACATTGATTTTTTCATATATAGTAACCCTTAATCAAGCGCGAAGGGCTCTGTGCAAGCGGTTCTGGGTGGGGGCCCTCCTCTGACAGCCCACGCACTCTAGACCGCTCTCACGCAATCCTGAGTGTGTGTGTGTGTGTGGTTCGACTCTTGGAATCTAGTGTGATAAAATGGAGAAGGGTTTATTCATAAATCATGATATCTTTATTTATTCGGGTACAAGCATGCCCTCCAAGACTTCATGGTTGCAAACAGTCGTGGAGATTTATCATTTGAGGCCCACTGTCGCCGTTGCCTGTATGGGGACTTCACTAGTCCAGCAGAGCAAAAAGAGCAAAAATAATGTTTTAAAAATCCTCTTTGGTGCGTTTGGGCCCTGGGGACCGAGATTCAGTGCACGTGATTGGATATGCGTTGCATATACCTTGATCTGCCCCTGATATATAATTTTTCTGCAACAACAAATTCACGTTTTCCAAACCTTCAGAGTTTCCTTTTATCTTGAGAGTGGCCTACTGGCTAATTTTTGAATGCCTCATACATTCGATAAATCGGCGGGGAGTTTCTCCGGTCCATTAACAGCAAATGAAGTGTTCGAGTTTGTGGCCGTTGTATAGTTTCTGTTATCGTCTCTTTGTATCCTGCAGGAGGCATCAGGAGAGAGTGGGATGGCTGCTGATTTTGGCCTTGGTTTGAGTCATTCCGCTACGGAGGAAGGGGAACTGGAGATCTCGTATCGCAACGGGCGTCTCCTCGTCCACGAACACCTCCACAATGTTACTGGTACGTGTCCCTCTCCTACCTCCACATTACGTGTCACCTACGTCTGGAATCATGAGGGTCGAGGAAATTTCTTGTGAGGACGGTGCTGTTGCTGAGTAATATACCATTCCCAAAACGAAAGCGTTTCTCCCAACTTCTCGATCGAATATAGCCCTTTCTTTTCTCGTTTATCTTCCAATATTCCGTACAGCTATCACTGCGAATTCCAGATCATTGGAAAGCTCTCTTGCTCTTCTCTGATGCGGTCGCCAATCCACAATGACTCTTGCAAGATTCTTGACAGGGTGCTGCATATTTCCATCCGCCCTCTGTTAGTCGACCGCTTGATATTAATTTGTTATGAAGTGTCGTATTCTGTCACTAGCGTGACAGGGAAATGTGATGTTGGCGACTTACCTCGGCAATTCTCCTTCCAAATGTATTCCAGTGCCAGTGGCGGCTCGTGATATTCAGCGCTAGTGATTCGTCTATGGAGAGGGGGTAGGCAGGGGAGGGCGCTGCCTACCCCCTCTCCATAGACGAACCACTAGCGCTGAATATCANGGCGGCTCGTGATATTCAGCGCTAGTGATTCGTCTATGGAGAGGGGGTAGGCAGGGGAGGGCGCTGCCTACCCCCTCTCCATAGACGAACCACTAGCGCTGAATATCACGAGCCGCCACTGTCCAGTGCATTGCCATGGATACCAATGCATTATTGTTCACTTCAAGCCTGTGTTCTCTCATTTTCGTCCTTCAGTTTCCTCATGATTCCACAGTTCATGATTAATTTATCCATGCCTTTTCAGTTTTGATTGGTTAAGTTCGTTAGGACTGTTCGTACTGAATGAGAACCGGTGTTCGCATGAACCGCTTTCCATCACGTGATCAGGCATCAGGCCGACAGTCTCATTTTCGTTCTGCGCAGAAAAAGCAAAAGAAGAAAAAATCAAAAAGAGAAAGGAAAAGACTTGCCCCAGTTTCTCACTGCAAAAAAAATGAAACTGATGAGATTCCGAAAAAGAGAAAATTTCCTTTCACGCCCACGGTCTACATGTCCAGGGCCAAGGTAAAGAGAAGCATGATCTTTGAACCTCCTCCTTCGAGGTCACATTTGCCGACGAACTCTGTATAGAGTCATATGCATGCGACATGCGACAGCGAACGCTTTCACAAGGAGCAAAAAAAATATTGATATATCGTGGAAAACAGGCTTTCCCAGGAATAGTTGACTAAAGCCAATCGTTATTCCCCATTTCTAATATAAGCTTCTACAGACTTTCTTCAGTTCAAGTGTTTTCCCATTGAGTGCATACTTGCAGAAATAAATACATTTTCAACCTTGTTTGCGCTTTGTCTTCATAACGGTCTTATGTACTGCAGTTTCCGGGTTTATTTTGCACAGGAATCGTCCGACCTTGCGTTAATTGAAATCCTGTTTTGAAGGACAATCACGCGCCGCTGCGGTTTTTTTCTCTCTCCAATAATTGAGGTTATAGACCTGAATGCTTGCCCGTTAGGTTTTTTTCGCCCCTCTCCCTCTGGTTGCATCTAAGCGTGAAAGTGGGTTTATTGCTTGGGAAGAGCCGTGATGAGATGAGTTTTCGGGGGTTTTTTGCGAAGATTCTTCCCTCACTTTCTCCCATAAAGAATCCGAGAAGAAGATCTTAAAAAGCTCTGCCCGTTCCAATTTTTCTGAAAGAACATTTTCGATTATCATGGATCTCTGAGAGGAGTAGAATTATGGGAATTTCAGCACGATCATGGTGGGGATCTTCAAGGATATCTGGGAATAGAATCACCGCTGACAACGAATTCTTTGATCAGAGTTATAGTTGGTTCATTTTGAGGAGATGAATTGCGGAACTCGGATGGAGAGAAAGGAGAGAAGGGGGGGAGAGAGAGAGGTCTGGCTGGGTGTCTGTTACGGTCGGCTGGAGGGAATTCAAGGCCCTTTCTCGGTCAATGTCGAGAGAGAGAGGAAAGGAAAGGAAGTCTGAAGAACGAAAGTTCATCGCTTCTGCAGAGCCACTCATTTGGGATATAGTCTATGCACAACTGCCCTCGTCCCGCCCTTTCCATAACGACTGATCATCAAGAAGAGATTTCCATTCACGTTTTGCCTTTCCTTTTTTGGAGCCTTTCACGGTCCTGCCAGCAGACAGATTGGCGCCAACAGGATAAAGCCCCCTCCTGCGAAATCTGCCGGCATGGCACAAATTATTGAAGAGTGCGATGTGGTCCAGCGAACATGATTCCGTTGATTATGATAATACCAGTGAAGATTATTATAATTTCCCCGCGGGTGAAAGCCCAAAGGCAAATTTCTTTGTTTCTGAAAAATGGTATTAATATTGGTTTCCCCCTTTTTCTTGTTTCTCTAGAAAACCATGGACTTCAGGCCCAAGGTGAGTGAGAACAAGAAACGCTTGCCGATTGATGGAAACGGAATCATTTGGTAGTGATTATTTTAAATTTAATTGCAGAGGAGTTGAGGCAAGGTTCGTCGTTGGCCGTGTTTGGAGTGCTGGCCGCCATGGCAGCCACGGCTGTTTTCATCCTAGTCATCGCTGCCATCATAAGGTGACCCCTTAATAATTAGAATTCTATATTCTATATTATTATTATTATTGCACTAAATTATTATATATTGTATAAGTGTTGGCCTTCATAAGGGTCCTGAATATAGAATTAAGATGTTGAGATGATACACTTGTCACCCGTACATGCTAAAGGAATGGAGACCGAGTACCAGGTCCGTACATAGTCCACAACTGGTTTCAGCTACTGTGCGAAACGCAATCAGGTAGCCAAAGGGTTGGCAGCTGCCCAAGATGGTCAGGCCTAAGAAAGTTATATGGAGGAATGACAGCGAAAGGCAAGAATGCTCCGGATTATTGATAGGATAAAGCAGAACATTCAAGAGGAGATGCATTCGCCAACTCAACCAAGAATGATTAGAACCCTTTTACCGATTGTCTGCGATAGTCTGAGAATCCATCACTTGACTGGCGAATTTCCTGCATGAGATACTGCCTTGACCGAACTCCCTCCAACCGAGTCACTGACTCAGTGCAGCCTCCTGAACTGATAAATAAAAAAAAAAAACAAGATGAAATTTCGAGTAATTTTAATTGGTGTACCATTGTGAAGATACAGTGCTCATGCCAGGTATGATCATAGATCCAACATCTTGCACCTAGCAGAAAGTGTTCAATCAGGATGGAGCGGACGATGTCCAAGTAATTTTTACCATTTAAACCAAAAGTTTTTTAGGTGGTAGGCAGAAAAATGGTATAAAAATGGTTCTGCTTTGGGAATCAATACATTCTTGAAGGTGATGCATGAGCAGTGAAGAGTAGCCATTCTGCTGAAGCCGCTGGTATAGAGGAATTGAAAAATATGATTTTCTAGCGTAAATTTTTCAAGATGGTATAAAACGCGAAATCGTTCACAGGTAAGCACCCTTCTACGAACTCCTTTCTCTACATAGAGTGATTCAAAATAAACGCTCCACCGTTTTCTATGGGAGAAAGTAAGATTCGAAGAAAAATAATACGATTCATAAACTCCTGATATTGGACATATGCAAGGTGTTGAGAAGATATTCTGGGTTTTTCTCAGATTAATTATTTGAGGTATTCATCGTCCCGTTACAAAGTTTACAGGTGGATCATTACACTTCAAATGCAGACCGTCGTCTCAAAATTAAAAAATAGTAGTTTTCCCTATTTGGGCCTTAAACTGACTGACTAAATTCATATTTTTTAAAGTGATTCCAAGACCAAATATTTTGAAAGGGCTCTCAGATAAAACTGATATTTTTTTGGCAGAGAGGCTCATGTAAGGTTTAAGGGCTCCAAAGAGAAACCTTACAGGTTTTGTTTTCCTGCCTAAAAAGTCGCGTAGCACGAAGATACAGGGCCCTCCGGTCAACAACAGCGCCCTTTATCGGCATACAGTGCCATCTTGAGAATGTGAAAAAACTTCTTACACTCTTACAGAAGCTCTCTGTCAAGTATCAGCTGCATCCAATCGTTCCTTGAAAAGTTATAGCCAATCAAAATAGGGGGGGGGTGACATTATTATTACCGTGTAGCCAGGAATTTCGCATCTGGGGGTTGGGGACCATTTTGTGCCTCCATGATCAAATTAAAACTAACTTTTCTTGGCCTCCACTCGAAGTACAGACATATGCTTTTTTTCTGCAGGCTAATCTCAAAATAATCCGACCGCTTGCCAAATTTCGTTGAATTCCGAGACGGTAGAGGACGGATAATTACCTCACCTGAGGTGGAATGATCCACCTCGAAGTACTTTAATTCACCTCTAAATGAGCATTGCACGATTTAGGGAGAGGTGCTGAAAAAAAGCCGACATGCATCTCAACCGTCCAATGTCGATCGCGTAGGCAATGTAATTTTTTGTTGTTGCAAATATGGAATTTAGTTTCTCCCATAGAAAACGGTAGAGCTTTTTTTTTTTTAAGTCACCCTATATATCCTGCATATAAATGTAGAACCGTCAGCTTCTGGAAAGCCGTTGGATGGCATGCGCTAAATGGATTTAAGTGAAATTGAATAAGTTGCATCATCTAGTAGAACTCCGATTAGCAGTGTTAGTAAAGATGATTGGATCGTCAAGTAATAGGAGAACACCGATTAATCGAACGAGTTTGATTTTATCCAGGGTAGTTCGTGAAGCCTTGACGCTTGGATGCTCGCAGTCCCCCCAGAGTCTCATGATTCATCTCCTTTTTTTTCGCTTGGCATGGCTCTTGAGCATCCTACGCTTTCACGTTCACTGCCCTCGCTTCACTAGTAGCACTGTTGCCTGCCTCTTGCGGCAACGGAAATCTCTTAGTATCAAATACATTATGGGACTGTAAGTGCATGCAATACTGTTCAGTTAAATTGTAAAACTGAAAGCAACAGCCACTCTCGCTTTTTTTGTCGCGCACTGATAACTGCAAACTGGGCATGCACGGATAATTGCGGTTTTACTGTAAGTTCCCATGTGAATCCAATCAGCAGGTTTCCATAGGATCCAATTGTGACATCGAATCAAACTAGGTTAGTCCATCTAGTGCATATCACTCATTAATCCATGAAAAACTTCTATGATGGAGAAATTGCTTTACATAATTAAATTTACTGTACGGAGTACTCAATACTCAATAGGACATTGAATTGTAATTTCTATGCAGGTTGCCATTACCTTTAAATATCACCGAGCGAATATACTACCACTTCACTTCACTCTGCTATATTATAAGTTATTGCATAAAAGTTCAGAGAGTCCTATGCTTATCTTCTGTGATCCTATTCTTGTAATTTATCAAAGATAAGCAATGAGATGAATATTTGTCATTTTCCTTTCGAAGAAAGCACTTCATCTGTTGGCTGCTGCAGCTGGTATCTCTTCTTTCCCTTTAACTCTGTTCAATGCGCATCGCATGGTCAATGAGAATCAATTTGATGTGCATCGCGGGGATGAGAAAGGAATATCCTGCATATCAATCTTAGTTCTGTTCTAACTTATTCAATCATTTATCAAATGCCTCTTCCATCTCGCTATAAATTCTTGGAAGATTGATTCCTGGGAATAGTGGAAATTCATAATGTAAGTTATTTTTATTTTTATGCATCACAGGAAGATCCGGAGCAAGGACGTGGTAGAAGGAGAGGACGATGAGAAAGGAGAGAAGGGTATGGACTTGACAACAAAGTCGCTTTCGTGGGATTTTCCACCGGACACGAGAGGGAAGCTGGATAACTCCGTCTTCATTTCCGCCTTGAAGGATTCCTCCACGCAACGGGCCTCTTCCACTCAACCTGTCTCTCCCTCCTCCCCCTCCTCCTCCTCTTCCTCCACCTCCAATTCGACAACTCTTGACGAGATCAAAGTCGACGTGAGTGCAGCCCCTTCAAACCTTTCTGTTTTGCTAAAAATAATATTCCTTGGGTTCCTGTTGCTGGAGTCGTTAGCCATCTCTGCAGTTACAACGATTCCGTCGACGAATCGAAGACAAAAATACACATATCCTCTCTCTTCACTCTTCAGAAAGTGCTTAACTTTAGAAAGGGTGAAATGCGAAAAATATACGCAATTGCTAGTTTTTGAATATCGTTCTGGAAACGAAGTTTAAACCCGACTTCTCTTTTATCCCAATCAACCAATCTTTATTAATCTATTATTCCTTGGCCCTCATGTTGCTAAACCTCATGACAACGCTTAATAAACTCGAACTCGATAACTTTTTAGCTGTTGTGCCCACAAGGACAGCAATTTTTCACCAATTGCGAATGTCGAGCGCAACGACAAACGTCTCCAAGAAAGTGAGCCGTGAAGATTCCCTTTGAATCGCTCCCAAACTCTACCAAATGTCTTTTGTGACAGGAGGGGGACAGAGCTATAGATGAGTCTGGTCATCCTTTCGAACAGGGCGGCACGCGTTCTCATTTACCGAGACGGGTCACGTAGTCTGATGGAAGCCATTTTCTTACTTGCTCTTAGCCCCCCTCTGGAGAGACTTTCACGATGGCATCGCTACTTCTTTGATTATATGGTTTTGTACAGTGTGCCTTCCCTAAAGGGAAAGCGAAGGGCAGAGTGCGCTCGTTCAAGCGGGAACATTTTCTCCAAGAGTTTCTCTCTTTTGCAAGGTAGGGCTAGGTTTCGAATGGACATAGCTTGCATTAAAAGATGGTGGTGATATTAATATTGCTAGGGCTTTCTTTGCTTCGCTAAGAATTCCAGTAACGCAGTACACATATAAATAAGTTTCTCGGTTTGGAGTTTTAAGTGCCGTATCATGAATGTATTCGTGTTTTCAGACTTATTCACTGCACTTCTATTATGCATCAGAACCTTCATTCTCACGATGAATAAGTCATCTCAGGAACGTACCTATGGCATCACTTAGCAGTATTGCCTGTTAACAGCAGCAAAAAACAACAAACAGCCAGGACTTTGATTCTTCTCTGATGCTGGGGTTTTCAACAGTCTTCGTTATGTTCGATATCGTTTGTTATTTGTATTGCTTGAAACTGCGCCCACCATTATACACTATATTCTCAAAAGTATTCGGACACCAGTTATGATAAAGGAAATGGATTTTTAATAAGGAAATTAATAACGTGTAGGTCCACCTTTGGTCTAAATATGACTTTATTTATAAATATAACTTAACTTCATACTGGCTGCTACTGATATCTCTGGTGTTTCCTGCACACTTTTATACCTGTTCTTTCTTTGCATACGTTCGGCTCGCATCGTTCACTACTTTCGGAGGGTGTCCGAATACTTTTGAGAGTTTAGTGTATGTTAAGAATATTCAATATGGAAATAAGCAAATCCTGCAATGGTTCTCCTGGTTACTCCAATCCTGGTTACCCTCCAAAAAGGAGAAATATGAAAAAAAGCTTCCATACATTTATCCGAAGAAACTGGTTCACCCAAGGTTTATGCAGGGAAATTGAATTAAAAACAATAAGAAACCTTGAATATCTGCCTTGTACCCACCCGAAAGAGGAAACAAGGAAAAGGGCCAAGTTTTCATCCTTTATACTGTGGAATGTAGTTTCAGTTTTCGCTCAAGAATGATAGTCTCTCTGAGAGATGGGCATTTAGATGAAGACACTTATCCTTACCCCTATGTGCTTTTCTCGCTGGCACTTGGCGTTTATGGGTACCTAACTGTCGCGATGAGCACACCAGTGGAAAGGGGATAGATGTGGCTTACGTATAACCTTATGAGGCTGTGGTAACTGAGATGCAATCATTTGCTGAATGAAGGAAAAAAAGACTTGAACCTCACGTTCACTTTCTCCTTTTGGGACTATACAGAGCTTTCTCAATGATCTAGAGATGCCTTCTCTTTTACGGACGCTTTGGAATACAGTCTGAGATGGTATTATATCATGGGCATGAGCCCCTTCAGTCAGTGAGAGTAGGCGCCATGAAGTCCATATCCACATTTTTCTTTTTCATTTGTACTGAAAATGGGGAGTGAGGAGTGCATTAGGAAAAAGGAAGATACTAATAAGAATTGCTTCTGTCTGCTTTTCGATGCATAAATGAAAGGATCCTTCCCACGCTTTTAAATATTCCGCGTCTTATTGACATGCATCGAGGGAAATTCTTACGCCCTGACGTGTTGTTTGCTTGGTGTTAAAAACGTGATCCCACATGATTATGACTCCATTTCGGATCGAAGGGTTGACATCCTCGTACCCGCCTGTACCAAGCATGGGAGAAACTGACAGGATGGAAAACTTGAAAAGTGAATTTTTAACCATCGGCAGTATCCCAAGAGTTCCTCCAAATGATTCAAAACAGACATGCTCCATAAAGGAATTTGGCCGCACTCTTCCTGGGTCTATGGCTCTGGACAGAAACTTCCGCTGTGCTGCCGATTTAGTGCTCGGTTGAGGAAAAGGTCGAGGAAAAGGTTTGCTTGGGGCTGGGGAAAGTCTTTAATTAGGGGACAAAATATGCCACTCCTGGAAAGCTTGCGTGCGCATGCGCCGTGAAAGTGGGGAATGGAACCCCCAAGATTCAAAACTTCTCTGGTCACTCTCGCCTTCACAAAAAAAGACCCTTTTCCCCTCTATGTCCATGTGTTTCCATTCCATTAATCGACTGCTTCTTTCGTTATTTTTTTGTTGCGTGAGTCAGTCCTTTCGTTATTCATTCGTTCAATCTATCACCGCCTACCCATGAGGGGGAAATTGCCCAAGTAAGGAAAAACTAGCGGATCTAGTCGTGACAGCTGTGATGATGCGTCACTCTTTTCGATGGAAGAGGCAGAAAAGTGGCACATTCCATTCCATTCTCATTCCAAGAATTCCAGAAGACTTCCATGAGAGGAATAGCATTCCCTAGGTTTTTCTAGTGGTATGTAAACGGAATTCATATTTGGATTCCGTTGTGACACGTAAGTACGTTGTGCCTGTGCGCATGCATATAGACTTAGAAGACTCAGAGAGAGAGAGAGAGAGAGAGGCAGAAAGAGAGATGATGATAATGTGATCGCTCATGCTTGCACCATTGAAGAAAATGCCGCCAGCTTCGCACCTTCTTATTTGACCTATAAAAAAAAGTGAATCACGACTGACGGAATGGTTGCTCTTCGTTCATCCGTATCCAATCAATAGTTAACTTGTAGAAGTCGTGAAGTGGAGATAATTGAGACCGCGCAGGGTGAAATGCCGGGAAAATGATACCAGTATAATTGCCAGAAACTGGAGGAAGAAGGAACCGATGCCTTCAAGACTTTCTCGCGTCTTCTCGTTTCCTTCTTGCCTTTAGCCATGATGTTGATGATAGCCGTGGGCTGTAGTTTAAATGAAAGTGACGATTTCGAAGTCGATTTTTTTTTGCGAGTGCAGAAGTTGGCAGTATTTTTTATTTTTGTTTGCAGTCGGTGTCGGACCTGTTCCCCAAGTCCCGCGGGAACAAATGGGACCGGATGCAGAAACGACTCAAGAAGGGGATGAACCGAGCCCCATTCGGGAAGAAGGAAGAGAGGACGGTCTCCATCGTGGATCTCCCCCCGGAACAACTTCAGCATATCTTCGTCTACTAACTCTCCCACTGACCAAGGTGAAAGCGATGAAATGGGGAGGAAAAAATAAGCGATAACCACCTGTGCCAATGAGGAGGTGCCTTTCCCCTCTCCGTTTGGGACCAAGCAAAAGGAAAAGATGGTGATGATATTTTTCCGATATCGATGGTGGTGATTTCTTTTCACAACTTAATTTACGGAGAGAGGATTAAAAAAAACTCGAGGTTAAAGAATGGTTCCCCTGTCTTGCCAATCCCTTGCCAATACTTTTGCAGTATTGATGAGTACATGATGATGATGAATGGACCTGTTTCTTTATGGTAGTTGACTTTTGCTTTTTATCTCCCCCTCCAATTGGGGTTCTGTGACATCCCTTTTCTGGATATATGAATTTCCCTCCTATTGGGCCTGTCCTTTTTCTTGGCCAACCTTTTCTTTTGGAAAATAAAAAATCCCTTTATTTGTGACGACAATTGCACGTTCTATCAATTTCCGTGACACTTGGAACCCAAGATTTGACGCCGTACACAGTGGGATCTGGGATTAACCTTCCCTGTCTGAATTTGAGCTCTTAGGGCGAAAAAAAAATAAGAGAAAAGTGCGGTGACACTTGCGAAACTATTCTCGTTGGAGCGAGCAGTCTTTTGGTCATGTGTTGTGGGCGACATCATCTGCTCCCGAAAGCAGAAATTGCGCAGCTTACGGTCTTTCTCGTAGTCTTGTCATCCAGATTCTCGCAAATAGAGCAAAGCAGACAATGAATAGTTTAAGTTGCACCTTTAGAAGGAAATTGTCGGGAAAGTGACAACTAAACACGTACTTTCGGATCCCTGATAATATGCAAAATAACACCCCCATGCTGATGAATATTGTATCATCGGAGATCTTGGGGACTGAAGAAAGCATACCATTAGATTTTTTAGTTCCTGCGGGAGTCGCGAGAGCAGAACGTTTTGCACAATTCGCACCACATGCAAGTCATATCGTACCCTATCCAGCCTAGATGACAAGGTATGGATCCACCCAATATCAGACGGCATCAGTCGAATGACGGAAACTGATCACTTATACTGCCATAGAACCAATGGATCTAATAAAAGGAACGTAAGTCAGTGAAGAGTCGAGAAAGTCGAGTTCGGTTTTGGGAACTGGAATAACTGCAAGCTCTTTAAAGGGGAAGAATACCGTTCCCGCACTTATTTTAGGAAATTACAGAATTCGTTTCCGAAGCGAGGTCCTGCAATAAATTGTGTTCTGCTCCACGCATACAGGGCTTTTTCGCATGACGTCACAGATCGGGAGACACCGCCTCCGCGCCATGCTGGAGTACAGGCAGATTACGTTTGGCATGAACGACGGTGATAATTTGCTAATCTATGGTGAATTTCTCGGGTCTATCTAGGTCTGAGCAAGTACCCACACTTGCAAAAGGTGGTTCCCTGAGTCTTTGAGAGTGACGGATCTGCAAAAAAAAATGATGTATGCTTTTTCACATATTGATTGTGTGGTATCCATACAGGCCTAGACCTAACTCCATGATTAAGAATGTAGCCCAAAACAGGTGTCCTTGTCAGAGGATTCTAGATTGGGTCGTGTCGTTAGGCCTCAGGTGTGAAAGTAAGACCTGAATTTGATGGCGTGTGATGCTCTAAGCGTAAGTACGGAAGAGAGAAGTGAATTCTGTAGTTCGATTTTCCTATCCAGTCGTGGACTCAGCTATGAGGAGTCTCTTCCTTCATAGGCCTTTTCGAAACAACCCTTTAACGCTATGACTTTTCGTTGAAAAGATACGACGCGATGACATCGCACAGTCAATCACGTTGCTTTAAGAATTCCGCCATGACCAGCAGGTGCTATTGCGAAAAATGGAACACATCGCATTTTAGGCCAGAACTTGACATCATCCACCAGACTATCACAGGGCTTCAGAGCGCGTAAGGATCACAGTCTGCGCACATCTACATCTTTTCCAGATAACGGTCTTTTGCTGTGCCTTTCAGGTTCTCAAAATAGACGGAAAGACTGGTAATCATGACGCAGACTTGATGAGGCTACACCCGTAACATAGGCCTATCAATCGAAATCCCCGCTCCCCTGAACTTCAGCATGGCGGATGTGCGCTCTGCCTCTCTGTTAAACGTCACCTTGTGACGTCAATGAAAAACCCTATTGTCGGGAGGGGAATCCCCGGTTTGTCTTCGTCGTTCCCATGTTTCTACAGGTGGACTCTCATCACAGTTCGTGACAGCAGGGTTCAGATGAGGATTAGTGAGTTACGACACGCGCAGCAGGGTACGAATTCTTTTACAGACGGGTTCCCATCCATTCTAGACTTTTGCTCACTCTTCACTCGCAATCCACTCGTGGAGGAATGAAGAGCACATGTTTTCACGCAAGCTTAAGTGAGAATCGATGTCCGTCGAGTTCATCCGTTTCCGCATTCGTCTCGAGTCTCTCTCACAATGAAAACCACGAGGGTTCAAGTTACCTGGAGAGGTTTCGAACAGCTCGCGATAGAATCGTGGGTCCCTACCCTGAAGAGTAGCTATAACATCGCCTAAAACATATCGACATTCTGGCATATGAAAACTTGGAGGCACCTCAACCTTCTCGTTCTTTCACCGAACGATTGCCACCAGAGACCAGATAAAGATATTATGAGTAAGGCAGTTCACTATTTACCCTGCGTTATCTGAATTTCATGAAAGTTTGCTGTACGTTTTAGCGGCTTAATTTAATGTTTAGTAACGTTGCTAAGCGTTGACAGAGCGGAGACCATAATTAATTTTTTTTTTCTATACCGCTGAGTTGCAACCTCTTAGCGAAAACCTATGCCTGCAAAATAGTTAATAAACAAATCTTTAACATTTAGTAAATTGTCATTACAGAGAAGTCCATATTTTAGTTATTTACTATACATTCTGCCAGAAACGAAAGCGCTGCATTACACTAAAACTTAGATGCTTCGTTACGGAAACGCAAAAAACGCCTCTTCACAATGAAAGGAAGAAGACACCCTTCCACGAGGCATTGGCATTTTGGCATAGAATTTCCGGTATCCACGATTTGGAGAGAGGAGGCTTCGCTTTCGGTGACGCTCAATCTCGGTCGCCTTCACTTGACAGGAAGTCTGACCTTGCTTGAACATCTTGTTGGCCTCCCCCGTAGTAAAACTGTGACCATCGCCCATCTGACGTTGAGTATTGATGCATGTTATTCAACTTTATTTTCTTGCGGGCTGTGGTATTTCTGCTATGCGGACTGATGACGATGCCACTTCCAGCCTTTGTTGCGCATACAGCTATCTATCTATGTCGTGGCCATAGCCTCTGATGTTTTTCTCGGTTTGAACTGAGAAAAGAAACCGTTTTGAACGTAGGAGAGAAAAAAAGAGGTGAGAATCTTCAATGTCAGCCCTTGTGTGCTTCAACTCCAATTCTTGTTTTTTTTTTTTCAATCAATAGGCACTACCGCACCTATTACCTTTCTTCAACCCCTAACCCCTTCCCGCAACAAAATTCAACCTCCTTGCATTGAGAGCATCAACAGGAGCAAAATTTGGCATTCTTCTTTCTCTCTCAACACAGAATCGCTCCAGCTAATTTGAAGCTCCATCTCCTTGTGGTTGTGGAGAACACCGAATCTGACTTTTTGAAAATGTGAATTTCATTCCCGTATTTTTTATATATTTGTTTTGTTTCTTATCCCCCACCGGGTAGCCTCTCCCGGGGGATTTCGGAGGAAAGAGACCAGGCAAAAGAAAGCTATTGACTTGTAGGTGACGAAAAGTGCCCTTTTGTTGTTTGCGGTGCACCATTTCGCAATAACAAATGAAATTATCTGCCGTTCATTTAGGCTCAGTGTGATGGTACCGTCCCCCAGTGTTGCCGGATATCCTGCCGGAGTTATGTCAGATTCATGACTTTCGGCCTTAGTAGCAGTGTATGGATCTTGTTTTTGAATTTATGAGACAATTTTGTGCTGAGTTCATTAGATGAGCTGAGATTGACACGGCGGTTGGGAGTGACCGATATTTTTGGTGGGTTATGGAGACATCCAAAATTCCCTATGTTAACAGGTTGGAGCCTAGCTTGTGCAAGCTTCATGCTTCCTAGAGGCGTTCTCTCCTCGGAACTAGTCGAGATAGTGCGAGGAACTCTGGATAGGTCTAACGTTCCACGGCGGCACTGAAGTACTTCATGAAACTCAAATCAGGTCTCTAATCGCTTTAATGTTACACGGCCTCTCTGAAATAGGTCGGGAAGACTGATTGGCCTGCGATTAGCCTACTATGCGCGTCCTCCACGAAGTTGTCTCGAAGACCAGGGATTAATCTATATAGGCCTAATTTGCCACGAAAGTCGAGGATTGCGTTTCTTTTGAACGAAAGGAGGTAGGCCTAGGACTGATCGAAAGACAGCCCATCGGTTAGACCCAGGCTTAAAACATTAATGGGTCGCTTCTCTACGGAGAAGGGAGAAGAGAGGTAGGGTTGAGGGTTGATGTTGAAGAATGGGAAAGCCTTTAAAAAAATTTTCGCATTACTTCATATTATGAGTGTTCTCAAATGCATTAAGAGTTGATCGACTTGCTGACTTCGTTGATATCTGTAGTAGACTCGTTGCTCTCAGAGCGAAAGTTTCAAACATGCGGTGTACTCCGCATCAATTGTTCAGTGTTATGATGCAGTTCCAAAGTAATCTTTGGCTTAAATCTTTAATTCCCAAAGAAAAACTATTTCCCAGCACCTATGAGCCCAAATGGCGCAGATGTGGATGAAACCTCATGCCCGAGCTTGAGTTGCCATCTACCCAACGAATGTGTCAGGCGAATTGTTTCTAAAAATGCTCGCTAGATGTCGCCACGGTCCTGCCACTTGCCTTTTTCTTGGTATTAATAGATTCTGGTCCGAACCAATTTATATATAAATATCTTACGATAGAACGTATAAAGATAAAATATATTTAGAACTTCTATCAAAATAATCACAAATCCACCAAAGTAACGATAAATTCAGGTCTAATTCACTGTAACCTGATTTTTAAACATAGATTTATATCTTAGTTTTAGTTTTTGAGTACCTAATTTTATTTAAACAGTTAAGTGAGTTACTTTGAAACTCAATTTCTCTGTTCAGAGAGTCTAACGTTAGGTGACAATCTGGTGTTAAGTGCATGGATGTACTGTAGGTGAGTTGGCCCAACTCCATGGAATGTGGCCATTTACAAAGCCGAAGTGTCATAGGTAGTCAGTTTTTATGCAGTAAGTTAGAGCTAATAATAATGAATACTTCAGCAGATGCTTTATTGGCTCTGGCTGGTTCATGAAAAACTTATGCTCCTAAGTCATGAAAAAAGAGATTATCATTTCTTTACCTTTGCTCCTGGTTGAGTCATATACAGCTGATGTGATGGGTAGAGATAAATGTATCTCGCCATGTATTAATAAAACCTTTTTTTCCAATTATGTCCAC